TATATATATATATATAAGGCTGATACATCAGACTACTATAGCAATGAAAGATAGGAGAAGAAATTGGATATGAATATACATATAATGATATCTAAATATTATAGTATTGAACAATAAAATAGATTATTATTTAATTAACTATTGCTACATGTTATAGCACAAATATGAATCTACTCAATATGAAAATGCACTGTCAGTTTTATGGAAATGTGAAAAGTAGCACTAAAAAGGATTGAACTACAAAAAGTGAATGTTTAGAGTAATATCATATAATTATAATTTGTAGTAAATTTTGTATGCATGATAAGTGAAAGTTGCGAACAATTATAAATTATTCTGTGTGAATTTTACATGATTATACACTACATATATTTTTCACATCTGCAACTTTCATTTATTCAATACTAACTCTCTATACATCTTCAATTTTATCTTAAACATATTGCTACTAATTTGTAAGATGCGTGTCAAATGTTTCTGAAATATTGATCCACTGTGTTAGGAGGAGAGCCGACTTTCAACACATTAATGATCGAGCCACATTTCGTAATGTTACTTCCATGTCGCTAAGTATTTTGCAGGTGCAGCGCAGCATCAGCATCAATTCAGTGATAATACAAATTTCATGAACAATTTTTACGTTTCATTAAAGAAAAAAAAATAATTAATAATATATGTGTAACATGCAAATGTAAAATGAATGGATAAATAAAGACTTTCTTGGCTTATTTAGAACACTTTGTGTATTTTCACATAGGGAGAGCGAGAAAAAGAAAGAAAAAAAATATTTTTTATTATTTATTTATCTATTGTTTATTTAAACCTTATAAAATTGATAATGTTGATATGTGAAAAACAGGATTGAGAAGTAATGGGGAAAAAGTATAAAAAATATTTTTTAATAAGCTACTTTTTAAAAAAACTTGGCACCAAGTTATTTTTTATAAAGTAACTTTCCCAATCCTAGTGAGATAATACACTTTTAAAAAATAGAGAAAGAGAACAAGAAATGGTGTAGCATGTTTATTTAACATTCAGTATCATCCAAACTGGCGTTCTTTACATTTTAGATGTCAACATGTAATAATCAGAAGAATAAATTTTGTTCATATAAATTTGTAATATTTTAATAACAGATATAATCTAAATATTAATATGTATATTTCTTTCTTATTATAATACAAATTCTGATTTTTTGTATAATCTCTGAAGGCATGTGATGCATAATTAATTTTCAAGATGTTTTTATCAATATTTAATAATGAAGACACCGTTAAGTAATAATTATTAATAAAATAGATTGAAGATCTGAATTTGTAGTATTAAAGTATGATACATTTAATAAAATAATAATTATTTCAAAACTATCACACATATATATCCCATAATTTTTTAAATTACATTAAAACAAAGATTAGCATAATCTTCTAGAAAATATATACAATTAATTATATGTGTATATATAATTCACACGAGATCCTAGTCTAAATTTTCAGATTATATCAAATATATTCTAACCAGATATTAGTATCCAAAAATAATCCTTAAACTATATATTTTTTATGGGAGATAAGTGTCAACATATTAAATCAGTTATTCAACCAGTTATTAATAAAATTTTCATTAAAATTGCAAACACTACATAAAATAGTTAATTTATACAATTAATATATTGATCTTTTCTTGACACACAAACACGTACTGATTATTATATCTCTAATTTGAATATAATTAATAACTCATTTAATTTAAGAAAGTAGTTAAGTTACTAATTAGACTAGAATCTCAAAGTCATATCTAAGTCCAACATTCATCATTTATTGAATAAAACATAAAAATATAAATATATCTCGGAACATTACAAACATATTACTATGTTGATTATTCTGCGATTTTTTGCAAGTTTTATATATATGTATATATAAAATAAATTTATAAATAAAATTTTAAGAACTACTGTAAAGATTAATAAGTATTAATAATAATACAAATTGTTCAAAAGAATAAATTCGCAGCAGGCATGCAGATTTTTTGCTTTTTTTTTTTTAAATCGCGTATTCCCATTTTTTCAAGTTATGATAGGGTCCTTATATTGATTATTCTCTAATTTACTGTTTCTTTTTTTACGCCACTTCACATTTACATGATTACGTGACTGTGTGTGTGCGTGTACCTCTCCTTTTATGTTTCTTTGCTTTCTCACTCTACACTCAATCACATAATAAGGCAAATATGAAATATGTAATAATAAAGCAGCATGAAAGGAGAAAAATGCTAAATAACAGAGAATGGTGTAAAAATCAGTAAGGAAACTCTATTGTATTATTAGAATTAGAGTATTTTGCGATTTATTTTAAAGTTATAAATCCGTTAGTATCTATGAAAAATTATAACTTATTCCATACAATTACTACTAAGTAATTTGAATGTTTTTCCAGTGTCAATTTTATAAAAGATAACACACTCTGTGTAACATAGAGATATATTTATTTTTCAATTCAGATCTTCAATTCAGATCTAATGAGTGTAGCACACACACACGCACACATACACACAAACGCACATACCTCGAAATATTAACTCAACTGCGATTAAAATATCTTGGATTTATTTGTAGTTTGATTGCAATCTGTCTTTCTGATAAATATGGCCATATGGCCATATAATTTTCATATTTATTTGGTCTAAAGAACAGGATAAAGGTTTGCACTAAAATAGACATTGACTAGCATATCATGATATTTAATTTTTAGATTTTGAAAAGCAACAGAGTTATTGTTAAGAATTTAATTCAAGGGTTTCCAAAATTGATTGACATAAACTTTCCAAAAAAATTGTGAAGGTCGCTTGTTTTGTATATCCTGTATATGTCTTTTCAAGTTGTTTTAACGTTTCTACTCCTCCTTCCCTAATTAACATTACACAGTAGCGTTTTGCTGAAAAATAAGCACATATGATTATTATAATATATTTTAATAATCAATATATATATATATATATATATATATTTCAATAATTTTCTCGAAATTCTCATCTTTTTTTAGTAATGCCAATTATGTTAAAAAAATGTTCTTGCTTTCATAATTAGCTATATAATTATTCTGATAGAAAGGGAGGGTATACTCATTGTTAAATTTTTGCCTTTGTATCGTATCATAGAATATATGTATAGATTATTAAATTTTAATAAAATCTATATTGCAAAATAATATTCTTTTTAGACTTACGATTCTTTGTGCATACATGATGAATTGCCCATACTGCCCAGAGCTGAACAGGATATGCATCTGTACAACGTAATAGTGGAAAAAATGGTTGAAAGCTACGATAGGCAACCATTTCTCCTTGTGGTGTTTGCCAATGAGTTACAGCATGAACCAGTTGGTCCAATAACTGCTCTCTACTCGGTTGCAATGGCATATTATGCCAAGATCGAGGACCATCACTAAGCAAATGTGCAGCAATACCAGCTGCGAAATAGGATACGTCAATGTGCTCAGAATCGAGCAGCATAGAAAGCATTTTTATAAATCGTGGTTGCATAAGCCGTGGTCTCAAGTGATCAACCTGAAATTTTCAGTGTAAAGAATAAATAAATTGTGTCTTAATACAATGTCGTTAAGGATACAATGTTTATGTGTACAAATTTATATTTTACATTTAGTAAAAATCCTGATACAAACCTCTGCAATATTGTTTAACAGACCAAGAACTTTAGTTTCTACACTAGATTCTCCTTGAAAGCTATCCAACACTTCAAGAAATAATTCCATTCCACCTTCATCGAGAAAGACTTTACATGTAATAGCACTTTCATCCGTTAAATTCCATAGAGCGCTTAATGTAAATTTCATTGTAATATCTACTAGTTTAGATTCGACTTTAGATCTAACCATTGAAAGCAATTTCAACATGTATTGTGGTTGTGCACCTAGCATAGATGTTTCCACAGTCGATATCTTTGCTGCTAATATTGAGCAAATGGCCACAGACATACGATTCATAGATGCATCATCAAATGTTGATAAGCAATTCATAACTAATCTTGCACATCTATTAAATTAAAATTCTCTTTTTTATATTTATTTATATATATTACAAAAATATAAACTGTTTTCATGCTGAAATTTTAGTATGTCTATCCTGACAGTGATATTTTTAACTTTGGTTTTATTTTATATGTGACAGAAAGTATTTAAAACTATAGAAACATATATTACATCTTCATTCATTTATGTTAGGAGTAATATTCCGATTTAACAAAATATTTTTAATTTTTTAATTATTGCAACATAAAAATGAATATAGATGTAAGAATAATATTATTGCAAATAATAATGAATCTAAATAAAACTAGAACATTTTATCATGATATATATTATGAAAACACACACATGTAAGTTTTATAATAAAAAAGATGTACTTTTCCACTATACGACAACCATAATTAAAATTTCAGCATATAATATACATATATATATAGCTACCTATATTTGTCAAATGCAACATCCTGTAAGATTCTATCGCTGCATAAAGTCAATAGTGTGTTTTTCTGAAGTTGATGATTAGTCGGATATGATTCCATTGCTAATAATGTTAATTCAACTATCTGTTTAAGTATTGATGGATGAATCATAAGAGCTAATTCACCCTTAGTGAGATTATAGATACACGCAGTAGCTGCCATTTGTACACGGAATTCTTGTGGATGCTCTCTCATTCCAGGTAACACTAATTTTATCACATCGACTCGTGGTTCGAGAAAATTTGGTGTTAAACGAAATAAATTAAATAAACACTTTTGAAGATATATTGGCCTGTATGTATATCTTCTAAGAGCTTCCAAAATTTGACATTCTGTTGCTGTACCACTAATCTGAAGCAAAAAATAAATATACTTTATATTATTTTAAACACCAATTTTTTTCTATTAAATATTTATTTTTCTTTATGAATGTTGAAATGCTTTTATCAATTTAATGTTGTTGATTATTTATAAGTTACTCCCTTTGCATATTCCTTTTATTTTTTAATTGTGTATGATAAGAATATAAATAATAAACATTTTTTCAGCAATGCAATTTTACATTAACACAAATGAAAATTGATTGCTTATATATATATATATATATATAATAAAACGATGTAGAACACTTGATGTCAAATATGGATATTATAATTATTTCTCTATGATATATACAAGTGAGACTATATATTTTTTAAATGTAAAATATAATGCAATATACGAAGTATAATAAGATTATTACAAATAATAAAATAAGTACAAGAGGCAAAAATAACAAGAGATAGAGAATATATGAAAAATGTCAAACTTTGTACAAATAATAGTAACAATAATCAATAATAATGTTAGTCTACATATGTCCAAAGATATAACAAGTGTAATGTAACAAAATTATGGATTCTAATCTTTTTGCATAAAAGTAATACATAAAGACAGTATGGTTGTATAATTAATTTCAATATTATGTCAACTTACAACAAGTTCGGGTCTATAATCTTCATGTGTCGAATCTATGAAACTTTCATCATAACAAGCATCAGAATGCACCAGTCCCAGAAACCTCAAATGTGCATGTGATGCAATAAAATTTTTTAAATCTTTCGAATTTATATCATCTTTACCTATATAAAAAATGTTGTTTAATAAAAAAAGAACCTCTTGTGTCGTTAGTTAAGTATAATTTCATGAACAATTACCAGAATATTATATATAAATATAATATTGTGTCAAGTAAATAAATATCACTCTCTACTCACCCGACAAATCTAAAGTCGTCAAATAAGGCATACAATTAAGAGCTCTTAGAAAATCTGTTATTTTTGGCCTAGCTGGTGCAAAAACTTCAAAACCATGTGGATCTTTTTCATCGGAAATGTCTAAATGCCTTAATTCATTTAACTCCAGTAATACTGGTATTAAACTTCCACACCCACTTATTTTTAAATTGTACATATTTAATGTCTTTAAACGATCTTTACATTTTCTTAACGGTGTTATATCATCAACTCTTGTACAAGATATATCTAAGCTCTCTAAAAGGGGAAGATCTTCGACTACTATGTCCAAACCATGTTTATTAAATTCTGTCCCTGAGACATTCAAGGTGTGAAGCGCCTTTAATTTGTTTAATGTTGCAATATCTACCATGCGTTGTCTACAACACAAAATATGTGTACAAAGTTATAAAATTATCAACAATCTCCTATAATTCAACTTAAAAATGTGTTGTAATGTGTGTGAAGCTTGATAATAACCTTGAAAAATCCATAAAGCTTCCTTTAGCTACACTTAGCGACCTAAGATTTTGTATACTCCAATCACCTAAACAACTAATTAAATCATTAACAGTTATTTTAAGTCCATTTACTATTAAATCTATAACTTTATGTTGCTTAAGAACACTTAAGCCTTTAGCTGATAATGTCGACGCGTCTTTCAGTCGTACATGCCTAAAAGAAAATTAAGTATTGTTATAAATTCTTTCTTTTAATTAAATTTTAATTAAATCTCATCACCTTAATCTAGTGGTCTTGGAGTCAAAAAGTGTAATTGTCAAGTCGGACAAAGTTTTTTTTTCACACAGGTTGGATAATAATTGCTCCGACACTTCGGCCGGCAAAAAGGCGTCTGGATGCTTAAAGGTAAGCCGAGTTGCAGAGTTGGAGGGAGCATCATTAGATAATGTTCTACCTATTGTAGTATCAAAAGCAACTTCTGCACTATTACTATTCAATGTACAGACATCTTGTTGATCTAAAATATATGCTTCTTTAATTCTGCAAAGTTTGCAATGTATAATTTCATACAGACACTTACCGGAAACAATGGTACTATTAGGAGTAGTGGAAGAATGTAGACTTGTATCACCGAGATGAACCTCGCACAAGCCTAGAACGTTACCGCAGATGAAATCGATGCAAACCTCCTGGAGACTTCTTGGAGATTCAAACATTTTATATTTCTGCTGTCATTTAACAATTTCTGGTCCTTTTTTACTCTATTGACTTTTCATACAACATTAGTCATCTGTGTATTCACAATCTCGTACCTTTAAAATGCAACATTAATAAAAATGCGTGAACACTTTGATATATTTCACATCTTCATTTTTTAATATTTCAAATAAATTATACCCGCGCATATTAGATCATATGATGTCAAATAGGATGATATAAAACGGAAGAATTTTCTTCCGTGTCAAAACGTATGTCAAAATAACGTCACGTGAATGGTGCACGAATTAATTGTATAAAAGAAACTGTAAACTTTCTCGGGCACTTTCCTAATCAAAACAGAACATCAATGGAGGAAAGTGCATATTCTTGCCAGTATCGCTCGGATGTGATAGTGTTTTAAATATTATGATTACGTAATAATACGCGGAAGTGGAGAACTAATATACTGACTAAACATTCCTATCGCGAGGATTGTGTTAAAATCAAGGATAACCGCGATTAATCCGAAATCGCGTCATTTGTCGAATTTCCCTGCCAGAAGTATTTAATACCGAGTCCAAATACGACACGCGACTTTGCGGAATAGCGAGAATAAAGCCCTCTAAAATAACCGCGAAAGATTGCGGACTCTCATCTGTGACGAGGATGCCATATTGACTCGTCAAATGTCAAAACAGACCAAAAAAAGAGCACAACTGTCATCGTTGTCGTCGTCGTCGTCATTGGTGCGGCGCAGTACAATCACACCGATTTGTGTTGCATATATTATTATATTATTATATTGCAACGCACACTACTGAGACGCACACGCGCGACGATAGCGCAATAAAGCGAATCGTTTTATCTCGGCTGACGGCCGATTGGGCCGATTCGTCGTCAGCTGATTTTGGCCGCTACACGAGAATTAGAATAAATGTCAATTTCTCGATTCCGTTACGTATGTGACGTACATACATACGTATAAGTACCTCGATGAGAACGTTGTCGACGTCGTGACATCCGTTGATATTGCTTTATTACCCATATTAATCGCGCTCGCGCGTACAACGTTCCGATGTCCATGTATGTATGCACATGCGAGTGACGGGCAGCGATCGGTCGTCGGTCGCTGACGTTGACGTGACGACGTGACTGGTGACTGTAGTATCGTGAGAGGAGAGATCTGTGTTTGTGGTTTAGGTCCGTCGCTCTCGTATAGTCAGTTGGTTATTGACACATTGCCAATATGGCGGTAAAGTGAAAAAGGCTTCTGCAACATGCATCGTGATCTCATTCTCGCGCAGTGAGAGTTTTCCCAGGTAACTCTCTCACCACGTCTTATTGTCGATGCGAGACGCAATTGACACGCCAGTCAGTTCATAGATTCTCTTTAATACATCTGTATACATTTTTATAGTTTCTTTAAACTTTATATATGTATATATATGTATATATATGTGTATATATTTCGTCGATATTTGTCCTAATTCGTATATGATTTAGTAAGTATCTCAATAAATCAAATTGTGTCAATAAAAGAACTCTGGAATAATGAATCTCTATATAAAGAATTAATGTAGAAAAATATTTCATTAACAGAGTGTATTAATTAAACTCTTATCTTATCTTGAGGGAGATAATATGCATGTCTGTCTTTTAAACTTTATATTAATGCAGATTGGAGTAAGCGTAAAAACAAAAGTTTTTATTAATAAATTTACTTATATAGCTTTAACATATATAGATTCAACAAATATCTCTTTAAATTTTAGGTACTTGCTGAAAGTCTTTTCAAAAATTTAGAGACTGCATTTTTCTTTCTATATTATATTTAGTATATTTTTTTTTAAGATTTGATCTGAGACCTGTTGCTGGCAGCTATAACTATGGTATGAGTCTGTCATCAAGTGAAGTAATGTTAGACAATAATTAACATTCTTAATTGCTCTGTATCCTTTACTTGGACTTCTTTGAAAGATGCCAAGTTTACGGAAGAAAGTTGCTGGTTTTATGCGCCAACTATCTATTAGCAACTTGGCTGGGGCTGTGGAGAGTATAGGTCTTGGGGAACAGTCACTTCAAAGCCCGCAATCGTTAACTCAGGAATTTCCTGGTGGCTGTTTCATCACACGTTATCTCAATGGGTAAACATTAAAATAAAAAATGCAGTTAATTAGATAATGTTAATTAATTATAATATATATATA